GTGTGTGTGTGTGTGTGTGTGTGTGTGTGTGTGTGTGTGTGTGTGTGGCTAGAATGTCATTTCTGTTACTAGAGAAAGCACAGCTATTTAAAATACATTTCTAAAAAGCTGATTATTTAAGGATGAGTGGAGCCTTTGCGCCATCAACCTCTGTAATGTAGTGTGCAGATTTGAAGTGACAGTTGCAGCTGTATCCCCGTAGATATGCACATCAAAATCACGGTGAGATAACAGATAACAAGCGTTGGCAAGGAAAGGAGAATTGAAACCATCATATCTTGCTGGAGGGAATGTAAAATACCATAGCCACTTGGAAAAACAATCTCAAAATGCTAAGCATGCCGTTACTGTATGACTTCACAGCTTGACTCCTAGATATCAACCCAAAAGAATTGAAGATCTAAGTCTACAAAGAAATTTAAATATAAATTTATATTCTTATATATATAATGGACTAAAAGTTAAAACAACCTAAAATATACTAAGTGATGAATAGATGAATAAAATGTCATGTATCCATACAGAGGATATTTCTGTGAAGCATAGTAATGCCACAAAGGAAAGAACGCAAAGCCTGTGGCTGTAATTCAGTTAAAGAATATACATCAATAGCCAGGCTATTGCTTGGAAGAAATAAAAAATAATTTATAGTATGCTGGCCTTTGACAGGCAAATCATAATAAGGATCTGTAAGATGAGGTGACTTGAGCTTCTTATTGTGGCTTTGCTTCTGATGGGCAGTGAGCTGTGGATTATGCTCAGTATGAACTGTATTTTCCTTTTGGAGGGGGCTATCCAAGAGCCCTCCCTGGCCAATGCAGGGATCTACGGTGATCCTTCCTTCACTGAGTGTCCAGCACTACCTGCTTCATAGCCCAAACACTTGTTGGGCCACTTATTGCCCAACAGGTCGCACCTCTGGTCTAGCATGTTGATTTTCACCCACACCATAGGTGGTCTGGAAGTAAAATAGTTTCTTGACACGGTTTAAGGTGTTTGAAGAAAAAAGGTTCTAAGTCCACAAATACCACTAGCACCTTACTGTGGTTCTGAAATAGTGTTTACCATGACCAACGTAATTAGAACAATCACAGCAGTGCTATGGAATTGCCAGATTCTGAGCACCTGCAATTCAAAACTCAGCAATCTAGACACTCCACACTGACTTCCTGTGTATGTACACCCATATATTCACTTATATACATAGATAGGCATGGCACAGCCTGTCAGCGCAATATATGTATACATGCCCTTAAAGGCTTCTGTTGTTGTTGGAGGTAAAATCTTTTTTTTTTTTTTTTTTTTTGTATTTTATTTTGTTTTGTTTTGTCTTGTTTTTGCTTTTTTTTTTTTCTACTTACAACATTGTCTTGGTCTTTATTGGGTTGCTATCACAAAATATTACAGACTGGGTTATTGACAATGAAAAGAAATTTTCTTCTCACAGTTAGTTATAAGGATGAGGACTTCAGGGTTAAGGGGCTGTGTTAGACAAGGTCTTCTTGCTATGTGTCATTTTGTGCCAGAGAATGTCATCTGGGGAGAGAACTGACGCCTGTGAGTTTAGGACTCTTATTTTATCTTATTTTCCTTCTTTATTTTAGTTTACTATATTTTTGAGGCAGGGTCTCACTGTACATGTGGCTGATCTGGAACTCATGATGTAGACCAGGCTGGCCTCAAACTCACAGAGATCCACCTTCGTCTGCCTCCCAAGTGTTGGGATTAAAGGAGTGTGCCACCACACATAGCTCCTTTCTTTTAAGAAGCTACTAACATCATCATTATGTCACCATAGGATCTGATTTAATCCTCATTCCCCCCAAAATGTCCCATCAAAATACCATCAACATATGAATTTGGGGTTTCAAGTTTCTAACTCACAAACTTTTGGCAACATTTTCCTTCCTTCCTTCCTTCCTTCCTTCCTTCCTTCCTTCCTTCCTTCCTTCCTTCCTTCCTTCTTTCCTTCCTCCCTCCCTCCCTCCCTCCCTCCTTCCTTCCTTCCTTCCTTTCTTCCTTCCTTTCTCATTAATGTGTATGGTTGGTTTTGCCTACATGTATGTCTGTAGGCACGTATGCCTGTAGAGGTCAGATACCCTGGGACTGGAGTTACAGATGGTATGAGCCACCATGTTGGGAATCCAGCATAGGTTCTTTGGATGAACAGCCAATGCTCTCAATCACCGAACCATCTCTCCAGCCCACAAGAGACATCTTTAAACCACAGGAAGTGTGATTTACAAAACTATTGGTGTGTTGTTTGACAAAGGCCTGAGCCAGACTCAAGGACAGAGATTCAGAATGTATCTAGCCCTCAACTTGGCTCACTCATAGTCTGATAGTGCTGCAGAACCAGTCAGAACCACAGAAAACAAATAGACCCCAGCAGCAGTGTCTCCGTTATCCAGTGTGTATCATGGCCTGTGTGTGGCCATTGTTGAGCAAGGATCTTAGGGCTACAGACCCCAGGCCCATCCTTCTAGAAGTGCTCAGATAAATATTACATATATCCAGGTGATTATAGGCAAGTGTTAGTGGGCAGTCATCCTTGGGGATAGGAGGGACTCTAAGCCAGCTGAGATTAGGAGAGTTGTCCTCAAGAATGCCCACACCTGGGCTGCATCAGTACTCCACAACCTTCTTGGAATCTATGCCAAGAGGGTACCTTGGTTCTTACTGTATCTTTCTTCAATTAAGTTAGTTAATCATGCTTACTATACCAGGTAAATTCTTCTGCTGATGGACTCAATATTATGCCTTTCTGCCCATTTCCTGGGGCTCCAGGCCCATGATCTCACATAAGTGTGATAAAATTCCCATTAGTGTGGTAAAACTCACCAGGCCCTGTGGACGGGGAAAAAAAGATGTGGAGATGTGGTCCAAGATGCAGGCATTGGCTGCATCCCTGGAACTGCATGTGTTTCAAGACTGTTGGTATTAGATTGTTTGGGGTAGTAGGACTTATTCATCATCTTAAATACTGGTCCTTGAAACTGCCACATAAGGAATGGTTGAAGGGGCCAGGGTGTTTCACTTAGAGAAAATGAGACATGATTTCTGTCTTCAAGTATTTGAGGGGGTGTCATGTGAAGGAAGGACTGGTCTCAGGATAATTCCAGAAGGCACAACTCGGAGCAAAAGAGGAAAGTTACAGAAGAGAAAGTGAGTCAAAGCCATGAAAAGGCACTAAAAATGCAAGATGGACTCATTAAGCCATGGGGACAAAAACAGTTTTTATGGTTAACCAGAACTGTACAAATTTGATATTATTTTCTCTTACATTCTAATGGTCCAAAGAGAGAAAAAGCAAATGATACACAGTGTTAGTAAAGAAAAGACACTTTTACACTTCTGTTAGGAATGTAAATTAGTACAAAGCTTGAGTAGAATAACTGAGCAGTATATATCAAACATTTGACAATGTATGACTTATGATACAACCCTCAGATTTGTGGAAATTTATTCTAACAGATTGACTAGAGATGTCCGTATATTATGTTCTTAAGCACTATTTTTTTTTGTGTTTTTTTTTTTTTCTTAAGCACTATTAACAATTGTGAAAGCTCCAAATGAATCTAAATGCCATTGGCAGAAAAATGGCTAAAATTCTGTGGAATCTACACAGCAGCTCATTGGACAGACACTAATGAGCATATGTGCTACTCGAGGATGTTTGAGAACAAAATAAAGTGTAAAGAACTGTTTTTAAATGTTTCAAGACATACACATTTTAGTCTTTACATTATAAATAAATAAAGCATATGTATATGTTAAAACTGGAATATTAATCATTTACTTCTGTCTAAGATTGTTGGAGCATATTTCTTTTCTGCTCATGCCTGCATTTTCGCAAAGTTTTAACTAATTTTAAAAATAAGAGAAAATGATGTTTTGAGAGATCAATCTGAATTTTCAAAAGAGGTGTCCTAAATTGTCAGATTGCGTGATTTACAGTGAACTTGGAAGTATGTCACTGTCTGCCTTTTTGGTCTGCTCTTGGTGTTTCTGTGAGGACAGAGGTTCTAGAGAAGAAGGCCATCTTCCTGTATCATGACTCATGCATGCCTACAGGGACTTAGCTGCCCCTGATGCCTTGTTCTGTGGCTACCAGTACCATTTCTTGATTAATAGCTGCATTCTTGGCATATATATAATACTAATTCTGGCTTACCATTGGTGTCCTGCAAGACCCAAGGGCATATGTTTTGTTCATCTTCTCACACCCATATATCTTTCATACTTAGCAAACATTGTATTTATGAAGACTGGATGGGTGCATGCATGTATGGATGGGAGGATACATGGATGGGTGAGTGTGTGGATGGTGTGTGAAAGAAAGGCTCTTGCTCAAAAGAAAAATGGTGACTTTAGAGGGATACATATCTGAAGGAATTTCTTGCTAGAGTTTCTAAGTTTATAGAATTAAGTTTTGTGGAACTCTTGGGATGGTTAGGGACAGTCGTGTGGCTTGGATGAGTGGCTAAAATGGAGTCATGACTCTCTTACCCCTTCCTAAGGTTTTGGAGTTAGTGTACTGGAGCAGCAAACAGCTCACTGTAAGGACTATCAAAAACCTTATGAAGTTACAATTCTGGCCCTGCTTGCTCACATGCTCAAGCTCTGCAGTCATAAACAATGACGAAGTTACAACAGTAAAGATTTATGGCAGCTAACTAAAGTCACTATAAATATAAAAAACCCAACACCCCGAAAAAGGTAGTAGCCAGGATGGACTTTGTAATGCAAACTGGAGCTCTGTGGTCTTTTTCCTTGCCTGCAACTTATAACATGGTTTTAACATTATAAATGAAAAAAAGCATATGTATACTTTAGGCC